GCAATATTAAGAAAAATTTCATGAAGCACTATAAGGTCCTAAGAAAAATATTTTTTGCAATGGCTAACACATACACAACAGAGGAATTCAATCAATACATGGCTAAGACCTATAACATTGACAAGAGGGTGAAAAAATACTTATTTGAAATTGTATATCACAGATGGTCGATTGCACACTCCATGTCAATAGATTCATGGTGATGACTTCAAATATTGCAGAATTTGTGAATGCAGCTGATAAAGAGGCCAGAGATCTTGTTATATACGATTTGTTGGATTACTTGATGAAGATGATTGGTCGCTGAAACAATACAAACAGAAATGAAGCAATTGCAATAGGCACAACACTCATCACAAAATATGAACACATAATGAGGGAGAAAATGAAGGAATCACAGGGAATGATGGTATGTGGTCCATTTGTGATATTTCTTTTTTATACATTGTATAAAAGTTGGTGTGCTACCTCTAAAAATAATTTTAAAATGTAGGTTGTATTAGAAAATGGAAGATAGAAACTTGAGAAGAAAGTTTTCTTGTTGTTTTCATCTGTACATTACTCCTATTTATACATCTCTATGTAGATAATGAATAAAAATAAAGGAAAAGTAGTATTTACACTTGTCCTATTATTACTAGTATAGGAATAACAATTTGTACTAGGTATATTCTTTTGTGTGCTGATCATGAACATTGCTACAGCTGGAAATAGGGACAGCTGGACGGTGAAGATTGTGCCTAGTACATCTTTGATCAATGGTCCTCGGTGTTCCATGTGTTTGTGCAAGATGGTTATCAAACAATTGATTTTGGGACAACATCTTCGACTTCTCCGAAGCTTCTCTTTTCTCTGGAATTTCTTTCTTCTTTTTCATTCTTTCTTCCAAATTTCTGTGTTGATTAGCTTGTACTCCAATATCCCCCCTCAAGTTGGAAGGGAGTGTAACAACACCCAACTTGTCGAGTGCAAAGCGGTGAGGAATCCCGGATAAGGGTTTTGTGAAGAAATCAGCAAGTTGAGAAGCTAAAGGGATGAAGGTGAGAGAGATCAAACCAGCAAGAAATTATTGTCTGACGAAGTGACAATCCAAATCTACATGCTTAGTGCGCTCATGAAAGACTGGGTTGAGAGCAATATGAAGGGCCGCTTGGCTGTCGGAGTGAATAGGAACCGGTAACATTGGCGAAATAGAGAGATCCGTAAGGAGACGAATCAACCAGGTTATTTCAGCAGTGACTCGTCTCATGGAGCGATACTCCGCCTCAGCGGAAGAGAGAGAGACAAAAATTTGTTTCTTTGATTTCCAAGAGACGGGAGAGCCGCCTAAACTGATGAAGAAACCACTTACTGAGAGACGTGAGTCAGGACAAGATGCCCAATCTGCATCACAAAAAGCAAGGAGAGACATTGAGGGATCTAAGTTCAAGAGAAGACCCTGACCAGGAGATTTTTGGAGATATCGAAGAACTCGATAAGCTGCTGTAAGATGATCAAGACAAGGACTTTGCATAAATTGGCTGAGAATCAAGACCGCAAAGGAGAGATCCGGGCGAGTATGTGTCAAATAATTTAGTTTCCCTACGAGTCGCAGGTAAACAGTAGGATCAGTGAGCAAAGAACTAGAGGCAACAACTAATTTGATAGAAGGATCCACAGGAGATGAGACCTTCCCAACATGCGAGCAATCATATTCAGAAAGCAAATCAAGGGTAAACTTGCATTGACTCATAATTATGCCTTGTGTTTCTTGTATAATCTCAATGCCCAAAAAATAATGAAGGTTGCCTAAGTCTTTGATACAAAACTCTGAATGTAGAAATGACTTGATGTCTGAAATCTCAGTCGAATTGTTGCATGTTAGGACTATGTCGTCCACATATACTGCCAATAAAGTGATAGAATTCCCTGAATGTTTAAAAAATAGAGAACAGTCATTGAGAGATGAAAAGAAACCTTTAAAACTGAGTGCCCCTGCAAGTCGAGCATACCACTGCTGTGAAGCTTGCTTCAAACCATAAAGAGATTTTCTGAGTCGACAAACATGGTGGGGACTAGGTGGGGTTAACCCTGTGGGAAACTTCATATAAACCTCTTCTTGCAAATCACCATGCAAGAAGGCATTATTTACATCAAACTGAAAAATAGGCTAAGATTTCTTAACGGCGACAGCAAGAAGACACCTAATAGTAGTCATCTTGACAACAGAGAAAAATGTTTCATTATAATCAATCCCTTCTCTTTGAATGTCACCCCGTATGACTAATTTGGCCTTTAGCCTTTCAATCGATCCATCAGATAAATGTTTGATCTTATATACCCATTTAGAGGGTAAGGCCTTCTTACCAGGTGGCAATAAAATAATGTCCCAAGTCTTGTTCCTTTCCAAAGCCTCAATTTCTTTATGCATAGCCTCCCTCCAACCAGGATGATTAGCAGCCTGGGAGTAGCTAGTAGGTTCAGAGAGGAGAGAAAGAGATTGAAGAATATGTTGATTCTGTAATGAAAGGGCTGAAAAGGATAAAGTAGAAGGGTGGACAGGGGTAGAAAAACAAGCTTGGGTTACATTAGTGAGAATCACATTATTGCATATGTAATCACTAAGATATTGTGGTTTCTTAGAAGTTCTAGTAGTTCTCCTCGGAGACATTAGAGAAGAGAGATTAGAGGGAGATTGAGGAATGGTAGGAGAGATTGGATGATCACTGTTTGAAGGAGATGATAGTGAAGGTGAGAAAGGGCTAGGTGGTTGACTCGGAGTGACTGGAGAAAGACTATTCAGGGGTGGAAGTGAATCAGAAGTAGGTTCAAGAGTGGCAAAAGAAATATCATCACAAGTAGGATTAGGTATGTGAAAAGAAGGAGAAAAAAGAGGAAAAACAGATTGTTGTTGTGAAATATTGGAAGCAAAAGGGAAAACATCCTCATGAAATTTCACATCTCTAGAAATGAAAATTGTCTTAGTTTCTAAATCCAGACACTTGAAACCATTTTGATGGTCCGGATACCCTAGAAAAACGCAAGGTGTTGCTCTAGGCTGAAATTTGTTTCTATTTTTAGCTAACGTAGAAACATAGATCAAACAACAAAAAATCCTTAGCCTTTCATAGGCAGGTTTGCTTTTGAATAGAACTTCATATGGGGACTTACCTTTCAAAACAGTAGAAGGAAATCTTTTAATAAGATGAGTAGTTGTAAGCAAACATTCACCTCAATATGAAATATGAACCTTTGACTGGAAGAACAATGCCCTAGAGATCTCCAATATATGCCTATGTTTCCTCTCCACAACCCAATTTTGTTGTGGAGTTGAGACACAAGAAGTCTGATGCACTATCCCTTCAAATGATAAATAAGTTGAAGTCTCAATACTCTTTCCTAACTCAAGAGCATTGTCTGACCTGATAACCTTAACCTTGACACTGAATTGTCTCTCCATCATGGCTAAGAAAGTCTTTAAAACAGGAAAAGCATTAGCCTTTGTTTTCAGCAAATAAGTCCAAGCTCCTCTACTAAAATATCAACAATAGTAAGAAAATACTTGAAACCATTATGAGTAGAGTCTTTATAAGGTCCCCAAATGTCAATGTGGATGAGTTAAAAAATCCTCTTGGATTTGATATGACTTATGGGGAAAGATAACCTAGATTGCCTTACCAAGGGACAAACATCACAAGATAGAACTGATGTTTTCCATTGCATGAAAAGGCAAATGCCCCAATCTCTTATGCCATAGCATTACATCAGATTTTGATTTGACAGAAATAGGAACTGAAAGAGAAACTGAAATAGATTTAGAAGATACATTAGATCCTAAGACATTGTGATGACTCCTAAAACAACCCCTATTGCTAGAACTATCAGGCTGCAGTAAGAACAGTCCATCCTTAGCTTCACCAAAAACTTGAGCCTTCTTCATAAAAGGGGCCTGCAAAAGACATCCAATAGGAGTGAATAGAAGAGTAGATTGAAATTGTTTGACAAACTTATCAACAGACAATAAGTTGTATCTGAAAGAAGGCACATATAAAACATTTTGAATCACTACATCGGCAAAGATAGAAGTATTACCTCTCTGTGTAATATTGACTTTAGTGAGATTAGGAAGAATGACAAACATAGGTGAAGGTAACGGAGTCAAAAACATGAAAACTTTAGGATTGAAGCACATATGCTCAGATGCCCCTGAATCTATAATCCAAGAGCTGGAATTTAATGTAGCAAGACAAGTAAAAGCATGAGTATAAGTTATACCATTTGATGCATTAGCATTTCCACTCATAGTAGCATCACTTGGAATGACTGAGGCTGAAGACTCTCCTCATTTGTTTCCTCTGTAGTACTGAACAGCCTGTGAGTACTCATCCTTAGTCAGAAAGTGACCTGAACTGTTAGGATTGTGACCCATAATTCCTCCCATGTTAGGATTGTAGTTTACTCCCTCTGGTTCTTCTGCTAAAGCTGCATTACTCTTGATTGTAGGTAAAAATTTCTTTGCTTTGCTATTAGTGAATTTAAAATCCGAAGGAAATCCAATTAATCGATAGCAATTATCTTTGACATGGTTTGTCTTCTTACAATGAGTGCAAAAAAAGATTAGTGATCTTTGATGGAAACCTTGTACTAGAGTTGTTATCCCAATTTCCTTGATTGAGGTTTCTGAGTGACATAGGCCTGATTAGCAGTATATCCTTGTGCATCTGCATAACCTTGATTTCCAACTCCCTGCTTTATGACCATGAATGAAGATGAACCAGTTGGAATGTGTGCATTCACATATGATTCTCTCTGGTTTTCATCTTGTAGGAGCAGAGAATAAGCATGGTTGAGATTAGGAAGGGGCTTGATCATTAGTATACTGCTTCTTGCTGGTGCATAGGCTTCACCATTAGAAACTTGATAAGTCTCTCATCTTCTAGAGACTTAGACAACTTCTGCTTTCCTCCACAAACACAATTGCAACTACACATATTATCTGAATTTAATGAATCTAACTCATCTCATAGTCTCTTCATTTTAGTGTAGTATCCAGCAACATCAGAATTAGCTTGAACAAGATCACTAAGTTCCTTTTGCAAATGAAAGAGTTTGGCTCCATTTGATTGTCCAAACCTCTGTTCCAGATCTATATACAGATCTCTAGCTGTTTTTGAATAAATCACACTGTCAGCTATGTCCTTAGATAAGGAGTTGAGTAGCCATGAAGTAACCATGTCATTGCATCTACTCCATGGTTGATATTCTGATGAATCCAGATCTGGAATTTTGCAGGTACCATCTATGAAACTCAGCTTATTTTTGGCTAAGAGAGCTATGAGAATGGTCCTCCTCCATCCCTGGAAACCCCTTCCATCAAAGATGAAGTTCACTAGGCTCATCCCTGGTGAATCTGAAGAGTAAAGATAAAAAGGATAACTGATATCGATCTGATTTCCATTTCCAGCTTTATTTCCAGTTTGGACTGCAACAGTGGTCTCAACCATTGCAAGGATGAACAGAAAGAAAAAGATGAAGGAAAACTGGAAAAATGGAGATCTTAATCTTGAAAACCTTAATGCTCTGATACCATATTAGAAAATGGAAGATAGAAACTTGAGAAGAAAGTTTTCTTGTTGTTTTCATCTGTACATTACTCCTATTTATACATCTCTATGTAGATAATGAATAAAAATAAAGGAAAAGTAGTTACACTTGTCCTATTATTACTAGTCTAGGAATAACAATTTATACTAAGTATATTTTTTTGTGTGTTGATCATGAGCATTGCTACAGCTAGACGGTGAAGATTGTGCCCAGTACATCATTGATCAATGGTCCTCGGTGTTCCATGTGTTTGTGCAAGATGGTTATCAAACAATTGATTTTGGGACAACATCTTCGACTTCTCCGAAGCTTCTCTTTTCTCTGGAATTTCTTTCTTCTTTTTCATTCTTTCTTCCAAATTTCTGTGTTGATTAGCTTGTACTCCAATAGGTTGTCCCATCAACTGAATATTTGTATACAGTTTATGATGGAGGTAAACGTCATATAGTCAATATGCGTGAAAGGATATGCACGTGTAGGCAATTTCAAATGAATGTTATGTCGTGTAAGCATGATTTGTCTATTGTGAGAAAATACTACACGAGTGAATGTGAATGTTGCTCTGTATACTACAAGAATGATAACATATTAAACACATATGAAGTTCCAGTGTATCCTATTCCTGACGAGAGTATATGGGAAATTCCTCCGGATGTTGCAGCGAATATTGTACTACCACCCAAAGGAAAAGTCAAACTCGGCAGGCCACAAAAGATAAGGTACAAAACGGTGGTGAATCAAGACCAAAGAAGTCAAGAATTACATGTGGAATGTGTGGACAACAAGATCACAATAAGCAGACATGCCGAAACATTCCACAGGCAACTTAGCCTTTAAAATTTAGCTCTCAATTTTAGCTTTGCCTTCTTCTTTTAGAACATAGTTGGCTAGTATTTATGTTTATTTTACTCTGTTTTTTAACAATTAATGTGTTGATTCTCATGTTTGAAGACTTTTTTCCTGTTTTTTATTTCATTTGTTGTATGATTAAACTTATATCATATATATCTATCACATGTCATTTCGAATATAGTTGTCAAGAAACTTGCAAATTGAAATGAAATAATGTGTTTTCTTATTCTTCTTTCAAAGTGAATTTGGATATACTTAGATACTAAATTAGATGCTTTGCATTATAAGTTGCCACCAGGATAAGTACGGCCATTGTAAACTAAGAAAAAGAAGAAAAAAAGATGTCATTTGTTGACAAAAGCAGGGCCAATTAATCGAGCAGAGCTCTGATTCCCTTGGCAACTGAAGTACCAATTTAAACACTTAGGCATTCTGGTCCTAAGGAATTTCCAGTTCCTAAAGTGACCAAGTAGGGATATTGTATCGATACATCGCATCTCGATTTTAGATATATCGCTCAGCATTCGAATACATCATGTAAACTGATGTATCCGACCTATATATCACGTCAACAAAAGGCCTTAAAAAGCATAAAAAGATAAAGAAATGCAACACAAAGTAAGATCAAGTATCTATCCTAAGTATATTGTAAACACAATCTGGTATAATTATAAAGTTTATTGTTATTATACTAAATAATTTATACTAAGTATGCAGGATGACGCAAGCTACTGCAATATACTATCTGAAGAATTTGTGAATCAAATTAAACCTTAAGAGTGAACATACAACTCGACATGTCACACCTATTAATTTGGATATCAAATATAGTCATGTTTTCATTGAGATCTAACTTCTGACTGTGAACCTAGTTAAAAAAAAATAATGTCAGCATATCAGCTTCTCTATATTGTCAAAAATATAGGATTTTATCTATTTAGATTAGAAATACAAAAAAAAAATTGCGCATGATCAGTATATAGATTGACTGTACAATACCTGATTGTATTAGGTACTTTTCATCCTCCATGAATAAAACTTAAACTCTAAAAATAATTAATTAGTGACTAATTTGTGTATTATACTTTGAGAATGAACATGGAAAGGTAAAGTTACTGTATAATTGTTCTTTTAAGCATCATATGGTAGCCAAGTTATCGAGTGGGCAGCATATTAACTATCACAGCCAGTATTGCAGAAGCTTTAGGCCAATGAAGTAGGAAGCACAACAAGTTTATACAATGAGCAACTATATTTTATACTACAACAACCAGTGCTTTGTGTCGGGATGATGAAAATGAAGATTTACAAGACAATCAACCAATCTCTTTTTCTGACAGGTCATTTTCCTGTCCATAACATGTAATTGATATAGCCACAAGATCCTCACATTTCTAGAAATGTAATATACTTTATACCAATTATATAATATAGATGAAGTTTATGAGAAACAATGTACAAAAAGAATTGATAAAACTCAATAATATTATATAATATTCATACCTGAACTATGTCAAAAAAATAAAAATTGAGATTAAATCTGAAGAGATGCAGACGAATGAACACTTTCGACAACTACCCAGTAGTTACCAACCGTACCTCAAATGAAAGATTAAACTCGACCAACAATGGAATAATTCTTAGAGAATTATACAGATTAGTAATGACTTGAATGTATTTAAAATGTTTAGAATTTTGTAAATACAAAGAGAGAATGATTTAAGATTCTCCTTTTTTTTTTCACGGTAGTTTAGATGTGTAAGAACACTTTTTGAATTAACGTAAGAAAATAATTAATATATCTATATATTATTAATAATAATTATCTTTTCAACTTCTTTAAAACTGCTATATATGTAAAAAAAAACTTTCATATTTATAATACTGAAAAAGTACTATTATTTATATAGTTAAGTCTTAAGGATGGTCTTTCCACGTAATTTTTCCTTTTATATATACATATATATTTTATATGTCATTTATTTTCATAACTTTTCAAAAAGTACATTTTTTCTTCTTATTTTCTCTAGTTGACGGAATAGATAGGCATATATAAACTGTTGTATGTCGCACAAAATCACAAGTGTTTAGATCTTAAGTAAATTCTTATTGATTTAGCTTTGGTATTCTTTTTCAGTTGACTCAATTGTTACATAAACTATCAAAATTATTCTAGAAATAGTAAAAATATTTAAAAGTAGAATTAAAAACTTCACATGATTGAGTATAACAATTATAGTATCGTTTTTTAGTTGTAAATTATCTCATATTACTTTGGCAGAATGACCTGGGAGACCCTTATACTTGGTTTCATTTGTTAGTTGAACCCTTATACTAACGACTTTACCAATTGAACTCTTAAACTCACTAAAACGCAAAACTTTAAACCCCTTTCTTATGCTATGTGTGTGAGTGTAGCACAACCGCTTACACATGGAATTTCAGGTCATTTTGTAGAATTCCATGTCATTTTTAATGCCACTTAAGAAATTAAAAGCTAAAAAAAAATAAGTTTGCACATTAAAATTTTCAGTATCATGTTCTTCATATTTGCTCATAATTGAGCACTAAATTCATGTCAAATTGGTCTAATTCTTCCTATTTGACATGAATTTTTTTTTACTCTAAAAGCTTACCAACACAAACCCAATAATTTTCTATCATAATTTTGAATTAATTTCATAAATTCACAAAACTCATTTGTTATTCTTCAAGTTTTCAACTTTTCAGTATACATCATTACTCTTCAAGATTTCAAAATTATCTAAACTTCAATCTTTCACAAACAACATTCGAAAACCCAGATTTTAGAAGTGTGTAAATCGACCAAGATTCATAGAGAAGAAATTTGAATTTTAAAATTAAAGAAACTAAAATGGTTGAGATAAGAGATTTGGTTAGGTGGGGTGAGAGGCGGGTGTTAAGAAGAAGAAGAAGGGGATGGGGTAGGGTGGGGTGGTGGGTGGTTTCAAGGAAGAAGGAGAGGGTGGGGGTGGGGGCTGAAGGAAGAAGAAAGTTGCAGGCGAGGGAGTGGGGTGGGATAGGGGCTGATGGGTTGATTTTTTCTCTTTTTTAATTTAAATTATTTTTTAATGATTTTTAATTAAAAAATATATATTCACTCGCTTTAAGGCGCGTGCAGTCAAGTATTTTTCCATCTCAGCAATATTAGTGTCACATAAGTTCGGTCAATGGTCAAAAGTGTTTAAAATATTGTGTTTTAGTAAGTTAGGTTCAGTTGGCAAAGTAATGAGTATAAGGGTTCAACTGACAAATGAAAACAAGTATAAGGATCTCTCAGGTCATTCTGCCTATTACTTTTAATGACAAAAAAGGTCTAAAACACCACTAACGTAGATATTGTTATGCTATAGAAGAATAAAGTGAAGACAATGTTTTTTTGAATTTAATCGTTTGATAATCTTAAATAGTTTGAGCTTGAAATGTCAAAAAAGACACTCAACACTTTGTGAGTGTTTCATACATCTCTTTTAAAGTCTAAACTTTGTGATTTCGACAGCGATATTTTCGAAGGTGCAAGGTATGTTATGGTTATCAGATTTTAATCCCAGCAGTGGAGGGAGTGAACAAGGAACCTAATTAGTTTTGCATTAACATTCATCACATTTGTTACTCTAATTTAATGCATCAACTTGTGAAAACACCCTATTGTCCTCCTTAAACACAATTAGTAAATGTTCTGCCACTTTGGGGACTAAAGGTTGTTACAACTCCTAGTAGGTCTGGCCATTTCAACCAACACGAAAGATGGTAAAATTCATAGTGCCAAAAGCAAAATTTTCAGAAGATAAAAAAGGTGCATTATACGATCAAATCCACTGCACAATGCTTAGGTGCATTATACGATCAAATCCACTGCACAATGCTTAGGATCCATGCCTGCTTGTTCATATTACAAGTATGTTCTCATCACATTCGGATACTTTTGTTGAAAGTCGGAGCTCCACCACCTTCCAAGGGATCCTTAAAAGCAAAACTTCTTTTTCTGCAGAACAAGACAGCAGAGATACAAATCAACAATGAATCG